TAGGCATAAAAGTAATATATATATATATATATATATATATATTTATGGAAAAGGAGTAAAGCATCAGAGTCGCAAAGTAGTACAAATCTAGATTTATGCAACAGAAAGATGGAAGAAAACATTCTCGATGTTGAAAAACCGCAAAATATGAATTTCTGGGGTAAAATTTGGCACAGTTCTTCTTGATTAATAAACTTGGAATGTACCATTAATTAAGAGTATAAAAAGTATCACCAGTCAACGATATGTGAAGTATTTATATTTATAAAAAATTAGCCACATCAACTTCACAGTCCATCGCCCAGTTATCCAGATAAATGAAATTTCTCCTTTATCGAAAATGAGTTGGAAAATTTTTGAAACTGAAATCCATCAGGATAAGGACTTTTCGGTATGGTGCTTTGCAGCAAAAAGTCACGTCAAAACAGTGTGATTGAATGTATGATGAGACTGTTTAAAAACGTTAAGAATTTTCCACAAGCTGAACTATTCTCATTCTCCCTGGTAGTACGGCAAAATATGGGTTAAATAAAATTAAGTAGGAACAAAAGAACCAAAATAGGGGTATGGAAAAAAGCAACTGGAAATCTGGCGAAAGCAAATAAGCAAATAAACCTTCGTAAAGACAGAAGGTAAAAATCAGTAAGGTAAAAATCGGTAATTGAGAGTGCGACTAATTGTTTCCTGAAAATAGATCGGCATAAAATCAAAGCAAAAAAAGAGACATGTTATGACACAGCAATTTGAAAAACGCCAAATCATGATTTGAGCTACAGAAGTCATCTGAGGCGCCATATAACTAAAAATTGAAATGCGCTAAGGTTGAAATTAAAAAGTGATAAAAACTAAGCGAATGCAAACACAATCAACGTTCATATATAAACATGGCGCAAGATAACGCATTCTTATTCTGATGAAATACCATCCATCAGGCATAAAAAGATGGAAGGCTATGTGGAACAGATGAAGTCTTGTTATATACGACCTACATACCCGATTCACAAGATTCGTTTCCCACATTATCAGTGTGAGATTTTAAAAATTTGAAATATGTTTATCCATGCTTGGAAAGAAATTAAAACTGTAATTTCGCATATCTATGAGAAAATGAGATGGAGCAGTGATTTGCTCATGTGTCTCCCGCCAATTTATAGCCTGTAAACTTGCTCTTCTACCAAAAAATCATGATATACATAGCGAAAAAAGTAAATTTCGCTGTGGTTGACGGTGCCCAGTATACGATGTTCAGGTGGAAATATTAAAAGCTTCATCAAATTTGGGATGGAGCTTTTTGATAATGATTGTTAAAAAATGATCGGCATAAATTCAACAAGCAAAAACTCATGTGGAAGAAATCATGACTTTAGTGGTTGATATATTGAACAAAAATATTTTTTGAATTTGTAGGAAAATAAATTTCAAACGTCTGGGTTGAAGTGGCGAAGTTCAGCAATTCAGAAACGATATATTAGCTCGCAACGACAAAATATGCTATGCAAAACACAAAATTATATGTGTTGACTAAAACTCGACCAGTCTCCATTGTTTCCCACTTACACTTGCTTTTCCTACTAAAAAAACCTGCTAAATACATATCTTGTAAGGAAGTTTTGATGATGAAGAATGGTTTCTTTCAGTAAGCAAAATTTTAAATTAATCGTGAAATTTGAAAATGTTAGCAATTTGAGTACTGATGCGAAATGTTGCACTAATACACCACATAGCGTAAACGTAAATGAAATGACTCGTCTTAACCATTTGCACTTCATCCTTTCAAAGTAAGGGCTCGTAAGCAGCACATTATAACCACCTATGGCTTATCTACGACAGAAACACGACCATCAAGCATATGGATGCAATTAATGGATGAAATTCCATATCATCCATTCAAATAATTTATCATCAGAACTGCCCTGAAATCAAGGAAGACCCAACGAAACGCAAAGAAATCCAACGAAACTCTTTCGCTCGGAACAAGTGGAAGCTAAATCCTCCTTAAAACTAATAGTGTAGCGATCTATTTTAATGACTCTGTTTTGTCTGAGGTCATTACGTAAATCGTTGTGACCAGCAGTGAGATCATATTTTAAGTCATCCGTATTTTGAACAGATAACCTTACCAATAGTAATATAAAAGCATCTTGAAAAAAATTATTAAGAAAAATCAACTTTTCTACGGAGAGGACTTCAAATGTCCCATAATTTTGTAAACAACAAAACAGTTCTTCACACTATCGAAGTCTGCTATGTCGTAATTAGTTCATAGTTTCTAAACCAGAAATTGAAAAACTGACGGTCTGCCAAATATAAGATTGACAACTGTGGGTCGATGAACGCCTTCAGCACAGTTCTGTTGCCCGAGGAAGATATGCTGGACTGAATGAATGATACTCTAATAATACTCTAATAAATAGACAATTCGAATGATCCTTATTTAGGAACTATAAATTGACGAACTATTGCGGGATGCAACATTCCAACGGTTCTCCATGCAAGCCATGAAAACCTAATCTCAATGGTTCGAAGATAGTTTGGCTGATTATAAATGGAAAATCAATTGTTCAAGCAGCTGGCTGGTAAAAAGAATTTTAACCACCACCACTACATCCTTTTTCGAAGAATCATCATAAGGCAACCAAAAAAGAATATGCTAACAGTTGAAACGTTGCTGAAATACCTTTTTTCTATGTTCTTAGAAAAAATACATTTATTTATAGAGTATATAATTGACGTTTGGTTTTTGAAGTTATAGTTTGATATTCCTCGTACGAATCTCTCAAACCAATCACATTCGGCTTTTCTATTCCTTAGTCTTTTTTTCCATTTTCCATTCTTCTCCTCCTTAGTGAGAAACTAAGGAATGAAAAGCCTCTGCTTTGACAGCATAGCTGAATTCAGTCGGACAAATTAAACAGTTTCATGTGATCAGTTTATCGCGTTGATTGGGCCTCGACATGATGGACGTCCTACGCGTAATCCTGTTCGTCACAATGTCTTTTCAACCTCTCGGAATTTCCAAGAGGTATTTGCTTCAGTCCATTTAATTCCACTGCCAGTTCTCTCCTACAGGATCGAATGTTTATATCAGAGATAAAAATCGAGAGTCGGAAAAAGGCCATACATTGAACCTAAAGGTCGTATGAAGTTTGTTTCAGGTGTTATCATTTTCAAATACCTATGTACTATTAGTCGAGAATCTCACCAAGCAATAAGTAAGCATATTGAAATATTTCAACATGAATTTGATTCAGAACTTCAAAATCACAACGTTGTTGAAGCAAAACCTACAAGAATAAAGATAGAAGAAGTACATTAGACTTGAACATGCTGAATATCGAATAAATTGCCTTCTCTTGCTCAAGCGCCTATCCGTAGTTTGCAGAAAAAAAGAAATCATCGAAATAAAAGCTAGTGTGAATTCGCATAAAGCACAAAGTACAATCAAATTTTTTAATCTTACAGATGCAATGGTGAAGGAATGAGGATGACTGCTTTGAAAGATGCTTTAGAGGGTTGAAGTTCACATTCCAGTAGACTTATTGCCAGATTTCCAAGTCTTCATTGATTTGATGTATTGAATATAAAAATATTTTTATGAAATTATTGAGGAAGCCTGAAAAATGAAAAAACTTATTCATGTTTTACCACTTCTCAAAAGAAAGGACAAATATTAACAAAGCAAAAATGGTTTTTGGAAGGAATATTTTTGCTCAACAACACTAACACTACAGGTGAAGCATGCAAGCGAATAACGAAGCGGAAAGACGTCATTTCTGTTTGACGATGTTTCCCTTCATTACAATTCCTTCAATAATCATTGTAAACCCAACAGGTCTGTGTAGTCATTTAGCCCTAAAAGTTCTCTATTTAATATCGATATTCCAATCCATACACAAAGATAAAAAAAAGGTAGAACGGATGGATCAGATCATCTGTCGTCATCGACTCATCAACTTTTACACTACCTGCTCAGAGATGGTTCCGGCCACTTTCCTCACCATTGGAGTATCAAATTTAGTATAATTGTTTGCACCCATAATTTTTATAATATGATTAATCGCCAAAGAAATCGACACATATCTCTCAGTGTGATAATGTCAGCACTGCAAAGATCACTAATAAAGGATAAGGAGAACACATATGGAAGAGACTCTCAGTGTGCAGTCAAACCTGTACTGTTTTTAACGTTATCTCATATAGCGGTCAAATCATTTACGCTTTACCGATAACAATGTTACGAAAATTATTTAAGAAAATTGTAAAAAGTGGAAACCTGAAATATACTGAAAGAGTCGACCTAATGCGATTATAAAATCCTAGATCATCTATAACATTTGCAGATAACACAGCCATTTCAAATATCACAACTTGTGTCAATTTCTAAGGCGATTAATTATATTATAGAAATTATAATGAGTATAAACAAAACTTTTATGGAATTCTCTCGGTGCTATTTAACTGAGAAATATTTTTCTTTTCGCATAATCTGACTAAAATGAACACTAAACATATGCAAGATTCACCCCTTTCACTCTCGTAATTTTGTTAAGTTCGGAATGTAAAATTCTGGAAAAAGATGAAAACATGAATGATCTTTTCCGAAGTACCAGTACATTTAATCTCATAGTGACTAAATGTTAACCATAACTTTAAACAGTGTTCACATCCTCAGTAAGTTCACGAGAATTGTCAGTCGGCGATTTTCACAAAAGTTGCGCTACATTCCTGATTTCCTATTTTCTCTCATTGTTCGATACATCTCCTCTAAATTTCTACTCCCCTTTTTTCTACTCCGGATTACTACAACAGTGATTCTTTGGCAACCAAGTAATTCTGAGCCTATGGATCAAAAAAGCTTCATTGATATTTTTTCAACTAAAGAGTTCATCATCTGATGAAAAGAAAGGTTCGTCTAACGATGACGAATCCGATAATTCGTCAGGTCCTTCAATAGACACATCTAAAGCTCGTAAAAAGAAAAAGAAAACGGAACCGAAAGGTAAAGCGGCGAAAAAAGCGAAGTCGCTTCCGCAAAAGAAGTTACGTGCTGACGACGAAACCGAGTATAATGATGTTGTTTTTTTTTGACAGCACGGATGGTCATCCAATGTGCTCTCAGTTTTCAAAGCTTGTTTTCCATCACGTCGTAAAGCAGAGAAGAATATGGTCATAAAGATCAGTGATTAATGGAGAGAGAGAGAAGAAGGCTTATTCTTATTTTAATAAACATATCAGAAATAGAAATAAAAATAGGAAACAGTTGGGCATAAATTCGAGATAGAAAGAAATGAAAATAGGAAAGTCGATCTGCCCGAAGACCACAAAACTTCCACAGTTTAAACAAACATATGAGACGACTGTTTAGAACAAAGCACTTTCTGAGGATAAAAAGCATTGCAAGCCAGTAAGAGTGGGGAAGTAAAAGAATAAACAAATTTTCAGAATAAAACTAAAGTCCATTTAGTTGGGGTGTATATAGAAAGATGTTCAAATACAGTGACGTTTAAGTAAGTTGGGCTTCGAATAAATATATGCCTAAAGAAGTAAACAGGGCCTTTCGGATTGACACATAAAAATTGAGCACTTAAAAGAGGACGGGATGAGGAATTGTTGACAGTTAAGGCAATCTGATATGTGGAAGGATTAACAATTGCTAACTAGTGATACTTTCAGGAATACAACATTAACAGCAACAACAAGAGCAAAATTTGAAAAAAGTTCGGAAAACTTGAGACATAATATGGAAGGTCGGATACGCATGCATTTTAGCAGGAACTTCCTTGCATATTTAGCATTGTTGACAGGAACAGAAAGAAATAAGTATACATCCAAACAGACAACTGCAAGGCAACCAACACGCACGCACTGCCCTCTTGTTGATATGCAAGCGTTCGTCGTCATTGTGCAAAAATCAATATCTCATATAAAAATGCTTGTCTGATGAGGTGAACTGGAGAATTTCAGCAACGGTTCCAAATTCTGGAAATAAAGAAAATTATTTATCGAATTCTTGTAATAACTGTAATAAGACCTGGATACCCTGGAAGAAGTGGTGAAATTCAATTGAAGATTTAAAAAAAGATTTCATGAAAGCTCAAGCTACTGGAAATTTACATAAATTTAGTTATTCCGAAGGCGAATTAGCAGATCTAAGTGATAAAGAGATAGAAGGAAGAATTACCTTCGTTTTTGCATCATTTTTACTCTTCTTTAAAAAAAGATTTCAAGAACTTTTTAACTAACTAAATAACAGATTGTTCCGTTTTTCCGCGAAAAGAAAATATGATGAAAGATTTTTGAAAAGAATTACTGCTTACATTATCGATGTTAATTAGTAATTGTATACTATTTCATTGGCTGAGAGTGGAGAAATTTGGGTAACAGTTAAACACGCAAAGCAAACCCCTATTTTCTACAGCTTTATTAGTAGAGGTACGTGATGTGACAAAGACTTGCCTCCGTCTAAAATATCGGTAACAAATAGAAAAATTTTAATGCTGATTGAATACGTGCTTTGGGCCCATAAATCACTTGTTATCAATTCAGGTCCACTTTCATCGGAGTGAATACTTGCTCTACCGCTGCTCTTTTTATTTCAAATTTAAAAAAAAGGAAATCAAAAAAATTCAAATTTGAGTGGTTTGTTTTACTTAACATTTAATGTTAATGTAATGTCTTTTTGGCTTATTTAAAGCTTTTCGTTCCTGCATTCCTTCATGATTTGACACTGTCCAGTAGGGTTGGTGCAATGACACATGCCGCCTGAATTTCGCGATTGATTTGCATATCGAAATTCGTCTGACACTCAAGGGGAACAATTACCCGTTGATCAAAAAATACGAAAAATTAATAATTTTCTAAGGCAAAGAAGAAATCCTCGCGATATTCTTTTATCAGATTGGAAAATGAAATTAAGAATTGTTTATAAAAATTTCTTTACAGACTTTTGCGACTTTTTGCATCGATCATGATTCAGGTGTTACTGGATTTTGTGTGATAATTTGACCAAGTATTAAGAGGACCAAACACTAACCCTAGCGGGTTAGGGTACTAACTCGATCACAAGAAGAGGTTTCTCACATCTTTTAAAAGGAACATTTTCATGTTTGTGACTGTGTAAACTTTGTGTAAACCGTTGTATTGCTTAATTAATGAAATCAAGGCTAAAATGATCCCTCCAGTTTGTGAAATTTGTACTTTAGATAAATGAAAATTACATTACTGGATTGACTGAAACTACTGCGAAAGAATTAATCCATGCAGCAACAAATGTGTAAATTAATTTTGAAAGTTTTTAATGATATCAGAAGATTAAGCTATTTCTTTCTTTCTGTGTTGACCGAGGCATTAATGAGAGGCAAGCGAACAAGTTTTTGTGGCAGGTAAGAATTGAAAATCTTTCAAGCAAACGGAACAGCATAGAAAGGTTCTAAAATATAATGATAACGTAACCTGAGTATGCTTCTTATGAACATCCGGAATGTGACGATTGCTTACGTATTCCATTTGACTGATTAATTCGAATTATATCGCCGAATTTTTGAGCATGATCAGCTCAGCAATGATTAGCTGTCTTCGTTTGCGACGATCAGCTTTATACAGATTCAGTAGTGTAAAGAAAATGATGAGCATTTATTCGATAAAGAATGAAATGGAAATTATTCTTGATGAATTCACAGTCTAATGTACAAGTTAACTACGGGACCCTCGTCATCCAATATTTGATTATGTTAAGGATCCAATAAGGATTGTTAATGGTTGCTGTCAGTTATCAACTGCTATTTGATATAGTAATATCAAAACAAATGATATTTTCTCATGGAAATTTTTCCTTTACTTTTATATAAAGAAGAAATCAAAATTTGAATATTTTAACAAGGATGAGTAATATCAGATGAAGTTCATATTGTAATGACCGCTCTCAGTCTTTGGCTCTCATCTAATCTTTGGTATCTTTGCATTTCCAGCAGTATTTCAGGTCACTCTCAGTTCATTAATCTAATCAATCGAAGTAAGCAAATCTATCACTCAAATGATTTACGGTTGCAAAAAATATGGCACAACAAAATGCATTCCAAGACTTCACCTTACTATAAGCAGTTCAAAATAAATTGTTATCATCACCAGCTACAATTATTTAATAAGGTAACAATTGAAGATTGAAATGCTCTAAGAAGATGATTGAATTTCAATATGTGAAACATTTTTTATTATCGTCTCCAACGTTAACATTCCAACATTGAAATAATTTTGGCATTATCTGTCAGAAGCATTGTCGCCTCAATTTTTTGGTTAAATTGCTCTACTAGCACACAACAAAAAACATTTAAAATTACTCTAAACGAATTTCTCGCAGTAATTTCCTAATTTCATAAAGATTATTCGCACAAATAATTAAAGATAGCGCCGCTCCAATTTATAATTCAAGTTTAACAACATGTTCGTTTATATGGGTTTTCAAATTTAAGTATCGATTCCCGATGATAGGTTTATCTCTTGCGGAATTGGTACTACAGAAGACATTTTAGATTCAAATAATGATAATTATTTAATTCAAATAATGATATTCAAATAATGATAAATAATTATCATTATCAAATAATGATAATTATTTAATTATTTTTTCCAAATTATTTTTGAAGAAATTCATAGATCATCGAATTCAAAAAAAACTGCATGATCTTTTCCCTTATCCAAAGAGTACCATAATGTTCTTACAGCCACATTTACACCACCCAGAAAGAACTAACTGCAGTGGTGACAGTTTCATCTTCTCAAGAGTCGCTATTAAAATATTTCTTATCAAAGTCGCTCTACATCTCCATATACATACATTCCATTTCTTCCCGACTCAATAATACTCCAAAGTTCATGATATACAGTATAAGCACTTTATTTGCATGCAGAAAGTGCAGAAATTTTGATAAACGATGATTTAGATCGTTTCTATTCTAATAATAACTATTAGTACAAAGTGACCTCACGTACCACGAGAAAAATACATGTTAATGCGCCTTTTCGCTGCAATATTGTATTCCAATTTGTTTTTCTAATCAGCGATTTCGAACTAACTGAAACTGAAATTGATTTTACATTTTCTGCGCAGAAAGGAAATATCTGTACAATTGAAGTTACAATCACTGTCACATCATCTTAATTATAAAAAAAAAAAAAATAACTTTAATGAACTGCTTCAGTTTGGCCATAATAACATCTTCAGCACTGTTGTCGAAAGGACATTATGATTAGCTATTTTAGCCTGAGTTTAATTTGATTAAATCCAGTAGGACTTCGGAATTGTTTCGTAGAACGTTATGTGATAATAAATATTTCTTACCATTTTTAATGAATTTCTTTCTGAGTTGATTTGTAAAACTTACCGAATAACTTTTATCATTTTGAGGGGATAAAAAACCAGTGCAATGTTTCTTATGCAATTTGAAATGGCAACAGTTGTGAAGTCGTTTTTTTATGGTCATCTCGAATGGCAAACATTTTTAGGTTCCCTTTTTAAGTATTCATAGTTCAAGTATTTTCAACTTTTAAGAAAAAAAAATGGTCGCTTTTCTGTGATTATTCTGTAAATTAACAATTAATTTGAAATCATTTGATTTCAAAGTCATCAAAAAAGTCAGTAAATGTTTTCCTCAAGTAATTTTTTTCCAAACACTTGAAATAACTAGCAAATTAATTAGCGATAAAGTTGATATCATGAGGAGAAAGTAACAGGAGAGACAATCTCATGTCTTCGTAACCTTCGACAGAACTGCATTAGTAGATCGGTGAGTACAAATATACATGGAATGATAAGTAAACCGTGAGAAACGCATAGAAAAATACACAGCAACATCGTTTTCACAAACACCTGAAATTGGTTAGACCTGAATTTGATGGAGTATTACATTTCAGGTGTACCAGACAACTCTTGACGGTTGAGTTAAAAGACAAAAAAAAAGCGCGCAATTCTCTTAGCCTATAAAAAAACTTTAATTCCACCCGAATTCCTCCCGTTAAGGAGGGGTTCAAGTTTGTGCAATACCATTTGAAGGCCAAACAAGAGAAAGGTTGATGTTTCACTTAGGAAGAACAATTATCAGAATTATCTCTTCATTTAGAAAGTCAAAATTAGCAAGTCGAAATGTTCATTATTGCATCTAAATCTTAAAGCTAAAATTTATGTTAAAAAAGGGAAAACATGCCTGTGCTATATATAGCTCTTTTAAAAAAAGACCAAGCAAGCATAAACTTGTGCTTATCGATGCTTGCAATGCAGGAAGTGCAACCGATGCAAAACATATCCGCAGCTTCTCCTTTACTGTTAATTGGTGGTTGGTAATTTTTCCTGAAATGTGTAGTACCATATTCTGAACAAAATTAAAATTCCAAAAAATCAATAAATTTCGGTTTTCCTTCGTTTCCCTAATTCTATCTACTTAGAGCCTAAGCCTTATTCCAACTCCAATAGACCACTTGCAGTCTTTCGCTTAAGAATGATCAAAATATCTTGTTCGATGGACTGAAACTATCATAAAAATCAGAGTAAAGGCTTATTACCATTATCATTGTAATGATAAGCCACATGAGCAGGTATGTCAACGCTAAAACCCATTGAAATTAACAACGCAGCCATCATGATCGGTTCCAAATTAAGGCCCATTAGAGTCACTATTCCAACTATACCTTTAAAAGAAAACTTTTCTGCTAATTTTTGACAATAACTGCGCAAAGCTTAAGGTAAATATTACATGCTAATTCATACCAAATCAAATAAAAAAAAGTTGTTTTGAAATCTCTAAAAGTCACATAAAAAAGTTTCAAATAATATTAACAAAAAAACTATTCCAATAACAACAGACTAGTCATAATGGAAAGGATAGCAGCCGATACGACAGCCACTGTGAATATATCGTACAAAAAGATAAAAGAAATGAATGCCATGCAAACTAATATGCCAAGCGCTGATTGCCATGCATCTGTTGCCATATTATCAATTAAGTCCAGGAACATTGCATCGTCCATGAAAACTGTCACGTTGAATTCCCTGGAAGATGAAACTTCTTTCTTCATTATACATAGTCCTGTTATGATAATATTCTCATTATTGCTATCAATTGCTATCACTATTTTGTCATCACATTAGTAAACAAATGTCATTATAAAGGTGATCAATTATCAGTTGCCTTTTAAGTTAATGGCAGTAATCATCAAAGAATATAGCAACCAAACAACCTTCGCGAGGATTGTTATCTTTTTCGTAACTCGATTTAGATGAGACAAGATTCAAATTTTCGATCAAGTAAGTTTGCGGAACATTATTCTTCAGTTTTTTGAGTGTTTCACTACAAACCTGTATTTATCTATAATGTTGCGCCATTTATTCAGCAATACACCCCTCTGCGGCCAATCCTTCAAATTTTCACCATAATAGGCGGTTGTAAAGAAGAATCTTAGCAAGTGACCACTGAAAATAAGTCTTTAAATCAAGCGTAACAACTTAGAATTCAATTCCTTTTTGGACAAATCAATGTCGAAATTGTGCTTATTTATTCAAATCAATTTTGCTCATTTATTCGACATAACGCAGGCATGAAATGTGCTTTGTTGCTGAAGCTAAAATACAATGAAAGCAGTAATCAATAAGGTTTAGAAATAAGGTCAAGTTTGCAATCAACGCATAAGACTTGGCATACATTACACGGCGAAATGATTAGAAAGAATTTAGAAAAGTTTTCGAATACAAGAAAAGTTTGAGAAATTCAAAGTTAGATTCGGATTTGTCTGAAAACCAATTGAAAAAACATAAGAAACAGTTACAGATTAAACTTAAATAAAGTAAGCTGACATAAATTAGAAGTGAAGTTCAAAAGAGATGTAGAAATTACGTTGCTTTGTCGAGAATCAAAAAACCGCGCCAACTCTGATATTCAGGCCAGTCTAAAAATATCGGCAAATCCTCTTCTTTAAGTATAATGGAGCCATTTATTGAATCTGAAATTTTATGCATAAAAATTAAAATTTGAGAAATGAAAGTTTATGCGTCGAAAAATGACCTTACCAGAAGGATAGGGCTGTTGCAGAAATTTCGTTCATTGTTCATTTATGGCATAACTGCACTATACCGAAGTGTATGCACACACACGCGCACAAATACATACACTACATACATACACATACACACACATACATTACACACATATACATACACACATGCACGCACACATACACGCGCAACACACAAACTGGCACGCGCATACGTGGACGAAAACATGCAAAATCGCATCTCGTTTGTCATTACGAGAGCAAATCAACCCTAGGCATGTGACAAATGCACTTCACTCATTATTAGCAGTGGAACAAACCATAGTTGTCATCCGCCTCATTCAACTGTTTTTCGTAATCAATGAAATCACGAATGAAATAATTGGTACTCTTTGCACCCCAAGAACCATTCATATGTTCCAATTCAGAAACCATTTGATTGAGACGTTGCAAACGATAAACATCTGACAGATTTCCAGGATTGTTCACATAAAACTGTGCTACAGTATGCTCGGGTATCTGATACGATTGCAACAGATTGTTCAACTAAACAAAAAGCATTGAATTTTCCAAACTGGCGTAAACAGTGAGTATTTTAGTACACCGACATGTGTATAATGTTAGAAATCTGTATTAACTTTGCTTGTGCATTGCTGATTGCTTGCGCAATTTCTAAAGCATAATTGATTATTGGCTATCCGGTCATTCAGTTTAGTATGTAATTTATTTGAGCTGGTTACTTTATGATTAATAAATTCATAGCTTTCCAATGCTTACTCCTTCTAATTTCGTATAGGAAAACAAACCTCAATAAGTGGTGAATCCAATGGGAATAATTTTTCCGATGTTAATTCAATTTTGGTTTGAGTTATCCCCTGAAAAACAAAAAGTCAGAATCTGCTTTACGAACTGAACTATATTCCACTGCGGTTTTTAGTTGTTAAAAGATGGATAAAAAAGTGTAAAATGCTCTACCGGAAACATTAGTAGTGAATAAATGTTAAATGCATACAAAAATTGAGATTATAATTAGAAGAACCCATGAGCAAAATACACCAATGGCAAAAACTTTATTGGTGACCAATGTGACATAGTCTTCAAGTATAGACGTGTAGATATTCTTCGCATGTTCACGGAAATCTTGTGAGTTCTAAAAAACACTCTCTCAATATGTAATGAGCTATACTATTTTTAAAAAAACATTTAGAAATATTTCAACTAATAGTGTTTTGATCCAGCATTTCTATTTTATAATGGGAAAGAGAAGTTTAAAAACGATAAATAGGTGAGTTAAAGCATATGAAGAGTACTAAACTTCCACTAGAGAGGGAAGCTCTATTAGACAAGACATATTATATTGTTATTTAACCTCTGACCCGGTTACGACCTTTAACTTTCACTCCTGTTTCCTTATTCCACAAATGGATGTGATTGATGGCGAAAATTTCACCTTTCCGCAATAATTTATTATTGTGCCTTTTTTCTCGTTGTCAATTTTGATTGAATGAGTATTTTGTTGTTCGGCAGCTATTTTTATTTCAAAATGTCCAGCAATACACATTATTGCCGAATAAAATGTTAACTGAAAAGGTCAAAGATTACTTTCCTTGCGCAAATACTGGATTATTCAATTATATTAAAAATTGAAACTGTTAAGTTTTGCTCGCAAAATCCTAAGCCAAATTTATTTACAATTGAAGAATGGAATGAGGTAATTTACATCAAGGAAAAGACTTAATTGAGTTAATTAGTTGTCACGCAGTAGTTTCTAATCTGTCGTTTCTTACGAATAATTATCTTTTCCTTTATTTATCGCGCAAACAAAAATGGAACACTTTGAGAACAGCGTGTAACTTTGGAATATCAATGAACAAATATGTACCAACTTTCATAAAAAAAAAAAAGAAAACTGTGAAAAGGAACATTAAATAGAAAATGCCATTAGTAAAATGATGGAAATATCCATTCGAAGTATTTTAAATTTTGAAAGTTTCGAAATGTGTATAAGGTAAAATTTAAATATTTGATGTTTTTGATAATTCACAATGAATTGGCGAAGCGAACTGACTTGATAAACGTAATCCATGAAAACGGATGACATATTTCCAAAACATAGTACTGTTATGGAAGGCGAACCAGTAATGGAGCCAACTGCATCAGCCAGAATATTCGTCAAGGCTGATATTAGGATTGCAGGTCCAGTTTCTTCTAATACCTGAAATATTTGACGTCTTTATCGAGAGTCAAGGAATAGGTAGTCTCATAGCTGCTTTACTTTTCCATGAAATCGATCATTACAAGTGGTTCCCTATTCGATTGAATTGATCAGAAGAGCCAAGAGGTCAGCCGCTTATGCAAATCTACGAAAAAAAAAAAAAATTACTGATTACCAGTGCGAGACGATATGGGACGCAATCGTCCTTGACAGGATGTAGATTACATTCTCTGGTGACACGCTGCCATGCGTGTATCATCAAATAGGCATCGTCAACACCTGCAAAATAAATTTTGACAAAAGATTTCAACAATTTCACAAAATTTTTGGATTTAGGGAGTTTTTTTAATAAATAAACAGAATTAGAGCAAATGAATATTCGAAAGCATGAAAGAGTTGCATGCCGCCACTTACTTGTAATGGATATTCAAAAGCATGGTCATTATAGCTTACCGATGGCAAGAGTAAGAATTGGTGTTACAGATAAAATGGCATCATACCGTACCCCACTGGTTAACAGTAATCCGATGGCTGTTGCATTAGCCATTAGAGGACAAATACAGGCGAAGAGAGCCAAGTAGATCTGAAAAATTAAACAGGTGACAAACATGTCTTCGAGTATTGTATGAGGATTCAGATCATATCTTGTCCAGACTGGACTATTTTTTAACCTGGGATCATTTCCTCAATGAAACTGTTGCATCAAAGTGCTTGAAATCCCTCCACTAGTTCTTATTATCCAAACCATGATATCCTTTACTCATGACTGATAAGTCGGCAAGGACTGATAAGAATTTCATCATTATATCCATACAACTTGGAGATTTTCTTCTATTATCGAACTTTATAAATGCTCATTTGTTGCATATATATTGCGCTGATTATCGTTGACATTGTTGAGCAAATGAATGTAATACCAAAACCAATAACCAAATACGGTAATATACTTAGACCGGCACGGGATATCTCATAATCAATGTAATCAAACGATACCATCAATACACGAACGTGTTTTGCCTTGTAGTCGCTAAAAAAAAAAAATTTTATTTTTTAATTTTTTATAATTTTTTTTTAACTTTTTATAATTTTTTATAATTGGAATAATTTTCCAAAAACTGTGATATTTTTTAATCACAGTTTTTGGAAAATTATTCCTTTTCTTTAACCTCGAATTTGATGTTTTTTCAACCGCGTAATACTGTGACAGCAAATGTGCTTTCAAAATACTGAAATTTATTTTTCGATTCGTAAGAATTTTTGTAAATATTGACAATTTGACATTGATTTACATGCTTTGCATTGCTCTCATACCAGAGGGCTTCATTTCCATCCTAATTTGTTATAGAGGATGATGACTAGATGACGTCTTTTGAAGAGGTGTCATGACCTTTAACTTTCTTGCTGGGTCAAATTTCTAAGTATTTAATATCTTACTTCAATAAAACGAGTAATGGCAATGGCAAACCGAAACCATTTATAGTCATTTTAGTTGGATACGTCCAGTTGAGAATCATTTTTTTTTTCACAGACATAATATAAAACGCGCATGATTAAGGCGTGCCTGCTAGTTTGATATCACTACATCGTTAGTACTAGTTTTGCACGTGAGTGACGTACAAGATAGTTTCAAGTTTGTTAACATTCGCGCTACTTCATGGAAACTTACTTTGACGCTGTTAAAAATGTGTTAGTTTGACATCCGACGATTTTCCGTCATTTTGAAGGAAAAAAATTTGCATGCATCTCGTATATCGCCAATAGGTTTTTCGCTTTGTGAAAAGCTTTCTGATAGTATGAACAATGTGTCGCATAGATGAAAATATTTGTAATGCAAATACTTCGGTTGAACGCTTTAGTAATTGCTATGACTGAAGGGATAAACATTGTCGACGAAGCCGAGAAAGTGCTATGAGTTGTTTTAATTAGAATTCAGAATATTTCTCATACAAATGGTTTGTTACAGAAAATCAATAAAATAAATATTTCGATACCTAAAGTGATGAATCATTCATCCAAATCCAACTCTTCCAATTTTTTAACCAATCTTAACTGCAATGTTTAAATGTTGTGGACAAAACCCTTTGTTGTGAATTCTTTTTTTCAATCCATTAATCAAGCTTACATGCAATTGTCGGAATGTTGCAAAGAACTTATGTACAAATGTCAAAAACCTCTAGTCTGCCA